GGTTCTGTTTTGTTTTAACTAAAGTTTGATCTTATTTTTGAGACCAAAACACATGAATAAATCAAGTATGCTTGCCACATCAATTTAATTTTAAAATTGTAATCTTAAAAGTTCAAAGAGCCAAATGGATTCTGCAGTAAAAAGGCCGCACGTTTACCTGAACTTCTTGCAGTATCAGTTCTGAAAATTTTAACTTCCTAGCTAGCAGAACTGCTGATACCTAATACAATACCTATTAGACTATCAGCTTCCTCTGTGTTCTGGGAAAATATTTCTACACATAGAAGAAAGTTTAATTTCTTTGTTTTAAGGGAACTCTTTTAGTGTTAATTTGCAGAACAGAATAAAAGTGCTTTTGAACACATTTACGTCTGGTAAATTTCATGCAGGAATGATCCTAAATTGATATTTTAGAGACAGAAATCTGTACATGTGCATGCTTGAAAATACAGTTATTATATGGCTGAATAATTCTTAATAATCTCAACAATAGATTGAGGTACTGAACTGTTTTCAAATAAATGTCTTTAAGGTGAACATAGTGAGGAAGAAATAAATATTCTGAAAACTCACCCATGATACCTGTCCTCAATAAATGTGTTTTGGTAGAATGTTAAGATTAAAAAAAACAAACCAACACTAAATCATTGATTTTATGTTTGAGTTGAAGTAACCGCATCCTTATGTCTTTGAACACTAAGTTAGTTATTAATCAATGTAAATACGGTGTTCAGTGAGCCTTTGCTCAAAATTTTACCAAGAAACATATGGGGATGCTGACTTTTCTGATTTTTTTCTTCTTGATTTTCTTCATTAACCTGAAACATCAATGTTGGAACAGTGGTGCTGTTACTAAATAAGTTTCTCGTATTATGCTGTCTTAGCAGAGAATGAATTGGGTCACTTATTTTTTACACTGTCTGGTAAGGCAGCGTATCAACATGAATTAGATTACTTGAATATGCAGCAGCATGTTTCAGATTTTAGTGTGGTCTGTGTGTGGGTGCTCAGTTTGGATCTCGGGCATCTACTCTGAATTCATTGTAGCAAAATGAATGGTGTAAAGACAAATACTGGTTTTGGTTGAATGTTTAAAACCACGATTAATTATCATTACGAGGATCATAACATATCATGACGTGTGTGGTCATTTATCAGAAGCTAGAGTTAATACTCTACCTTGTTTGCAGTCTAGCGTTCATTTAATAGATTTTTTTTTTTAAAAGTATTCCTTAGACATTACTAATTTTATGGCAAGATGGTTTGTTTCAAATAAGGAAATTGGAGAATATGTTCCTATTTCTTTCAATTTGGGAAACCTGAATTAGTATCATCTAGTATGTTAATGCATAAAACATTATATATTGTAAAATGCAAGAATCAAATAAAATATACAGAGGTTCATCTGTTTAGGATATTATCAGTACTACTTAATTCATTCTGAGTTATAGTACTCTAGTAAAATTGGCAGCATGCGTCAGGCAGACAATATATTAACAGTTAATACTTGATAACGATCTTAATAGGCATGAGGGTGCTTTAAAGGTGGCAGTTATTTAACTTTTTAAAAATCTTTGTTTTGAAAGTGTGCAACAAGCGTATTGGGAACTGAAGAGAGAAATGTCCAATTTGCGTCTGGTGACTGATGTGCAAGCTGAGGTTCTACAAAAACTGAAAACAAACCCCACAGTGACCAAGAAAGGCAAGTCAGTGTTTGCAGAAAACAGACCTTACCAACACAAAGCCTTGATTCAGGCCGTACCATTTTAGAAAGAAACCGGCTATCGTATCTTATCAGAATCTCATCAATTGAAGTTGATAAGCTGGGCTACGTTCTGGTTCCAGCCTACCCATTTTCTGCTTTTGCTTCTGTCTCATACTGGTCAACTTCACACATAAAGGTGTTGCTGATGTGTTTTTTCTTCAGTACTGTATTCTGTTCCCCTTGTGGCTTTTTTCTCAGTCAAGTGTTGCTTATGTGCGCAAAGCTGAGGTGTTAAGTTTACTCGTATTTGACCTTTTACCACAACTACTTCATATTGGGGGGAAAAAAGTATTTTTGCAAATGTTGACTTATTTTCTCAGTATAGAATATATAAAGTATTAATTTAGCAACATTTTAAAATCAGACTGATTTTTTTTTTATGGTTGTGTATTTCTTTGTTGGCATTCAAAAAAATTCTTTTCTAGCAAAATGCTATGCAAGATGACGTTTTCTGAATGTCAAATACTGAGGCTGCAAAACCACCTTATTTCTGCTGCTACGTTGCAAATAATTAAGGGAAAAATATTGTCTGTGAGCAGTTCATCAGGTGGTTCTTCTATTTCATACATACATTTCTCTCAAACCAAATGCTTCATGAGAGTGTTCTTACTCTGGTGGGGCCAGCCTAGATCCCAGTGTTTGTTTCCTTTGTTTTCTGCTCACTTCAACTGTGGTATTTACTGTGTTTGGACCACAGAAGACACCAGTGAACTTGGTTACAGTACATTGGTGACGTTCTCTGACGTTCCTGTCCAGTACAAGATCAAGACATTTTGTTTCTAACCAGCTTTGATTGGCTCGGTGAGGCCAAGATAGGATTCACCTCTTGATCAATCACTGCCTTTGTCTGTAGCCAGCAGTGATTAATGATTTCACTCTGGTACCTGTCTGATAAATATCAACACATCTTGTAGGCTTGGTCATGTTGTTACCACGTGAGCCTGTGTTTGATTGATGCTCTGTAGGCTTTTTTCAGAAGTATAAAAGAATGTACAGGTTTGGCAGAAATGAAAACTGTATTTTGTTGTTACCTTGCTTGTTAGCCACGCTTACAAATGCAGTGCAGACAGATCTGTGCTTGTATTTATGGAAAAATCTTGGCTTATGCAAAATACGGGTAGAATTGACTTAAAACATCGACTTCCTATACCTGCAGTACCTGCTATTTTACCATATACAAACTAGTTGCCTCTATAAGAGATGTGTAAAGTCTGCAGAACACAACATATTTACTGCTGTGTGTGTGATGTTAACAGTATCAGTTAGCATGCGGATTCTACTTAGCTGTCACTAATATATGGAGGCATTTTCAAGAAACGTGTCTGCTTATGGGTTGTTTTTTGGTTTCCTTTGGGTTTTTTTGTTTTGTGTTTTGTTTTGGTTTGTTGGGTTTTTTTTACATTTTCCATTAATTTTCATGTGATTCCACTTTTCTTGAACTTCTAAAGGTCTTTGGACCTCAAATTGCTTTTTACACCTTTGGCCACAAAGCGGCCAAATCCAGTTCCTTAGCACATCTCTCGGGTACGATGCCTGTGCTATTGGAAGGTGCTTTTGGCTGACATTTGCAGATTGGGTACCACCTTTTAACGTTTGGTGACACATGGAAGCAGTATTCTTGGACCGAGACACTGGCTCCTCCTTCTGTCTCTTAAGAACTAAAGTTACAAATCACAGTTTGTACTCAAGATTTGTAGCTGTTCTAGAAAATGACCTGTAAGACACAAGTTTCTGTAACTGCAGGAACCATTACATGGTTATGTACATTACTGGCCATCTGTTCACATGTGCATTGAAGGTGCAGCACTTTGGTTTCAGATAGATGCTGCTCTGTTTCAAAATCCTCCCCTTCCTGGCATGGTTTAAAACTTCCTGGCAATTTCAGATGGCTGAAGATTGCTGTCTATCATTTCACTTTCAGAAGTCAGGCAGTAGTGGAGCACAGAGAACCTGCATTTCCCTCTTAGTGCTTCCTGAACAGTGAGAATTCAGGTTGTTGGCAGCCTGAGAACACAATTTATTAAAAGAATCGGTAGAGCAGGAAGAAGCACGCTCTGTGTAAACAATGTTCTGAGTCTGGTTATTTCTCCAAGCAGTTGAAAATCCTCTGTTTCAGCATCATTCCAGTCTAGTCAAAAAGATTGATCAGTTTATCTGTGTTCAAGTGGGAACTAGGAGGCTTCCTTGGCATTGGGTGTATTTTAGACATTGAGATTTCAGGATCAGTTCAAAACTCTTAAGTAGTCACTGAAAGTAGTCAATTGCAGTATGTGAAAAATGCATTAGATCACATAATTTAAATATCTTTTTTACCTTCTTTCTGCAGCTGCCTCTACTGCACCAATACAGTGTGTTGACTTGAACATTTCAAAGCTGAATTTGACATCTGCAGTAGCCTATAAAAAACTCTCACAGAATGATCAAGTCCTCTGCAATGCTGTGTCCCCGCCTCTGCCGAGAGATGTAAAAATCCCATCTGAGAGGGTGACTCTCCAAGCATGGACAGATGAGAGACCCGTTCCAGTTGATGGCAAAATGTTTCAGGAACACCATTCTTACGGAAAGAGCTCTCTGGAAGATAATTCCTGGGTATTCCCAAGTCCTCCAAAGCCTAACGAGAATGTCTTTTGGGAAATGAAAAATAAAACCACCTTGTTAAACTGCCCAGCAGATTACCTGGATCAGTGTAATCAAAACTGTGTGCACAAGAGTTAAACAATTTTTTAGAATGAACTGAGGCATTTTCAGAGTGGTTCTGAATTAGGCACCTTAACACTTGAACTTTTAAAGAGGGAAAACAAATTGCCTGAAATGTTTTGGTTTTGGTTGGTGGTTGTTTGTTTTTAATTCTTCATTCTAGTTCTGGAACAGAAAGCCTATTCTTCCTCTGCTGTAAATCAGGAGCAAGTTCCTTGAAGTTAAAGCTGTGCTGGTATAATGTAAAGAAATCTAGCATGGGGCCTAGATAGTCTTGTACTGCAAGTGGCATACATTTGCAAAAGGTTACACTGAAAAGTGAGTTCTTGGAATAAAACAAAATAATACAGTTCTGTATTTGCTTGCTATTTTTATGTTATCAAGAAAATATTTGGTATCCTATGTTAAAAGCTGTGAAAGAGCTCTGAGCTTACTGACAGTGTTTTGGTTTTTTCAGAGTAAGACATAAAATGAAGAAGTGGATTATCTCTCCCTTCCTCCTTGCTTTCTGATTCCTCTGGTTTAGAAATGCATTATAATGTAATTTTTAACCAAGAGAGGCGAGGGATTTTTTTTTTCCAAAATCTTTATTTACCTGAGATAGTGGCAAGAGAAAACTCACTCCTAGGCTATCCTGTTTAGATTGCACCGTTTTGGGCCTTACTGTGCATTATAACAGATTGTAAGTGATGCTGAACGCTGAATCCTGGATGTTCAGCTGC